TTCTTGAGTAGGAAAATTTACAACTTCCAGTCCTTCCTCCGAAAAATTTGCAATTACCAGGCAGCAATGGGAGCATACCAGAAGGATCTCTGGAATAACGTACTGGCAGCAATTCAAGCTGCTCCTGAAGACATTAGACAGGAGTGTTCAAATGCTCGTGCTGAAGCTATGACATTATCCAAGCACCAGCGCTTAGCTCCTAGGCAGATGTTTCAGCTGAGACATTGAACACTGCAATAACCCTTCGGATTCAAGCTGCTCCTGAAGACATTAGACAGGAGTGTTCAAATGCTCGTGCTGAAGCTATGACATTATCCAAGCACCAGCGCTTAGCTCCTAGGCAGATGTTTCAGCTGAGACATTGAACACTGCAATAACCCTTCGGCGTCGTGCTTCCAAGCACCAGTGCTTAGCTGCTAGGCAGATGTTTCGGCTAAGACATTGAACACTGCAATAACCCTTCGGCGCCGTGCTTGGCTCAGGGCATCTGGTATTGTTGAGGATGTGAAGAAGCAAATTGAAGAACAGGCTTTTGATACAAAAGGTTTATTTAATGAAAAGACTGATGAGTCTCTCAAATCTATACACGAAAGCAAGAAAACTGCTAAATCTTACACCATTCATCAACAGCCTCATTTCCAAAAACAACAGTGGCAGAGGCAATTTCCTCAGCAGCAGTATCATCAGCAGGCTTCTCAAGGGTACAGGCCTTACAGGAGTTCTCAAGGTTCTCTTCTCAACAATCTTCTGCCGCTCCACCCTACAAACAGCAAACATCACATAAACGTCAGTCCTATCGCCCATCTACCAGAAAGTCCAAGCAGTACCTTTGACTTCATCAACCCTCTGCTTCAAGATCATCACACACGTCTTGCCCCATTTTACCACAATTGGCAAAGGATATCAAAAGACATCTGGGTTCTGAACATCATCAGATTCAGCTACCGGCTAGAGTTGGTAGAACTTTCTCCTCTAGGACATCTGCGAATGACAACATCCAATCCCACCCTAGAGGAGGAGGTCCTCACTCTACTCCAAAAGAATGCGATACAACGGGTTCCTCGTCAGGACATCCTCAGGGGATTTTACTCCCGATATTTCATTGTTCCAAAAAAGGATGGAGATCTAAGGCCCATACTAGATCTAAGGGACCTCAACACTTACCTTCAGCCACGCCGGTTCCGGATGGTCACCCTGGAATCCATCGTCCCCCTGTTGAGAAAGGGAGATTGGTTTGTGGTTATTAATCATATTTTGCCATTTTTTCAATTCTTCTGTTATCTTTATCAGTGGCATCATAAACAAAAAATCTTAGGTAAAATCTTCATTTTACATGCTGCTGTTCTACCCAACCATGATAATCCAGTCTTTCTAAAATTATTCAATTCATCCTTAATTTCTTTTATTTTATCAACATTTTCCTTTTTAAAAACAGATTTGTTTCTATATATCCCCTATTCCCATATATCCAGTTTTACTCACACTAGTTATTTAGAATTTCCCATTTTAGGTTTTTTTTCCCTCCAGGAATTTATTGCATTCTACTCCACCTAACATTATATATATTGGGTTAAAAGCCAGAGAGAGTAGCTATCAACAGCATTCTTATGTTACACATACCAGCTGAGCACTGTGACCTGTCAGTCAAGCTCTTTGTCTCCACAATGTGCTTCCCAGCTTCAAAACAGTAGTCTTTCCTGATGACTAGTCCTCCCTAATGTTTTAAGAGTATAGAAGCCTGAAAACCCCTAACATCTAGAAATACCTTCACAGATTTTTATGATTCACTTTGTTTGAGGATAATATATATACACTAGCACATCACATTTTTAGCCAAAGTTTTTATTTTCAAGTAGGAATGAGGACTTTTGGTTCTGCTCTAGTTTATGTGCAACAGAATTTTGCTTCAAGTATGGAAACAGTAAAGGTGCAGTCCAATTACTGGTTTAGGTTTGTTTTTAATCTACTGCATTAGTTTTAGAAGGTAAATCAACGAATTGCCTGTCTGTGCAACTATCATAGTGTCACTATCAATTTTTGTTCGTATAAGAAACATTTCCCTACTCACGGGATGTTTATGGCAGGAAATTGATGTATTTGTTTATATGTTTGTTAGAAAATGTCTCTTTTTACTGAAATTGTGCACTTACGATGTTATATTTATTTTTCAATAAATGGAGAAGTAAATCAATGTATCAGCATTTTAAAGGATGTTGATATCACCTTGCAGTGCCTTCTTGTATTTTGTAATTTTGTAATTTTATCAACATTTGGAAGAGTTATTTGTTGGTTGTGGTCTTCTGGGCATTGTAGTCCAAAAAGACAACTTTTCAAAGTACCGTTCACCTTTGTTGTAAATGACAGAGCTTTTGGGATTGTTACCGTATTTTTTGCTCCATAAGACGCACCATTTCACAAGACGCACCAAATTTTTAGGAGAAGAAAACAGGAAAACAATAATTTGTTTTCTTCTCCTAAAATTTGGTGAGCCTAATGGAGAGGTCCATCTTATGGAACACACCCTAGGACCCTTTGGAGGCTCGCCCTGCCCCCCCGGGGGTCAGAGGGGGCGAAGTCGCCAGCTTCTGGGACTTGAGGCTTGGGAAGCTTCAGAAGAGTCCCACAAGCTGGCAATTTCCCCCCCTCTGGCCCAGCGGGGGGGCAGGGTGAGCTCCAAAGGGTCCTAGGGTGTGTTCCAGGACGCTTTAGAGACTCACTCTGCCCCCCTCGGGGGTCAGAGGGGGCAAAATCGTCACCTTCTGGGACTCTTCAGAGGCTTCCCAAGCCTCAAAAGACTCCCAGGGTCCTTGCCACGCTCTCCCCACCCCCCACGGGGCCAGGGGGTAAAATCGCCAGCTTCTGGGAGTGTTTGGAGGCTTCCCAAGCTTCCAAACACTCTCAGAACCTGGCGATTTCACTGGTGCTGGCCCCCATGCGGGGGGGCAATGGTCCTGGGAGGCTCCCTCAGACCCTTGCCACGCTCCCCCCACCCCCCCACGGGGCCAGGGGGGTAAAATCACTAGCTTCTGGGAGTGTTTGGAGGCTTCCCAAGCTTCCAAACACTCCCAGAACCTGGGGATTTTGCCAGCGCTGGTCCCGTGCGGGGGTGGGAGGAGCGTCGCAAGGGTCTGAGTGAGCTTCCAGGACCCTTGCGACGTTCCCCACACCTGGAAGCTGGCGATTTCGCCAGCGCTGGCCCTGTGGGGGGGTGGGGGAGCCTCTCAAGGGTCCTGGAAGGCTCACCCGGACCCTTGCGACACTCCCCCCCATGGGGCCAGCGGCGACGAAATTGCTGCCTTCGGTCCATAAGACACACGGACATTCCCCCCACATTTTGAGTGGGGGGAGGTGCGTCTTATGGAGCAAAAATACGGTTTTTAACAACAAAGGGTTCTTCAGCAATTTTAAAAAATTGTTATGACCTAAGCTTTTGTGGACTGTATACCAGAATAATTGTCACTGTCTTGACAAACTAGCAGCTTTTAGTTGTTGTTTTAAAACAAATTAGCATGATTGCCTCTTTGGAAGTCATTTTCATTGTTTGTTTTGCTTTGCTGGATGCAGATGGTCAAGTTATACAGAAAAGTAACTGATTATCAGCAAGTACAAGCAGTGGAAATCACTAAAGTTGACAGAAACCTAATGCACTTAACATGACTCTGGATTCTATGTTTTGCATTCCCTCTTCTGAAATCTTGTTATTCTTAATTGCAAGATTTTTATTTTATTGTATAGAAATCCAGCTTTCAAAAAAATATCACTTTTATGCTTAATGACTAAATAAATAATGAAAGCTGCACTGAAGAAAGTAGTCTCTAGGACCTTCTTTCCTGGATGTAGAAAATGTGACTTCATTGTTTCCTCATCTTCTGTCATTCAACATCCAGCAATTGCCATGAATTACAGAATGTCCTAGCAAATCTGTATCACTTCCTATCTCAGTAATATTTGGAAAATACATTAGTCTTTACTTTTTAACAGTTACAACACTGCCCTTCCTTTCTTATTCTTATCTTTTCTGTGGAAAGTAGCCTATAAGTCTGTAGGCAGGGAATTTCTCTACTCTTAATGTTTTGAGTCCTCTTGAGGAAAAAGTAGGGTGTGTGTGTGTGTGTAAAATGAATGAATATAATATACTGTAGCCCAGCCCAATCGACGTGGGGTCGTTCCCTTGTTCAGTGCCGTTAGACAAGGCCACTGGCAGGTAAAAGAAATGGGAGGGAGACTCCAAGAGGAAGCTGTTTGCTGTTGAATCCTTGTTTTGGCAAGCATGTATGTGGCATACTTTCTTGGGAAGCACATATTCTATTACACTTCTCATACAGAAGTAATTTCACTGTGAGATTACCTTAGTGAGGATAACAGGAGAGGGGTTTTATGCTACAGAGAAGACCTGGGGTTGCCAATTTAATTTTAACCTTTTTAGTTTTGCCACAGGATCTTTGTAAAATGTTTAGGTACGCACCAATGTCTTTGTGTATTTTGACCTGCTGTAAGAGCCTTTTTGAATCAAATGCACTTCATTCCTCTTTTAAATATTTGCTTCATATATAAATAGTGCCCATTTCTCATAAAAAATAAACTTGCAGCTCACAAATTGTGATGAAAATGTCCTATGCTAGAAGGTACATGTTTTGCCTCAAGGTGCCAAGTGTTCCAGTTTCTTCTGACTCTTGTGTCTGACAAAGCGGACATGTTCCATGAAAGCTTACATTAAAATATAGCAATTAGTCTTTAAGGTGCCACGTGTTTTTCCCCCCCTTTTGATTTGTGTTTCTCATTGGAATTTAAATTTAGAAACATGCTCTATGTAGGCAGGAAACACTGTAAGCCAAATTCCAGTTAAACAATTCAGTCTATGTTACCATGTAAACTTTAAGGGGTTTTGCCCCCACACCAAAAGTATCCTTTCTTCAGCAGCATGATTCTTCCACTCCATCTCAGCCTGACATTTGGATAATTTATTAAAAGAAAATATGGATTAGATGTTGAACTGAGAAGGATCAGGCAGGACAAGGCAAAAACCCTGTATACAGCAGAGTGTATGTAAGTGTACCTTTGTTTAAATCAAGGATGGAGAATCCCCAGTCCATTGGCTGGATTAGCAAATATGGCTTCCCCATCCAGCCACTTCCCAAACTCCCATTTCCAGGTGTTTTTCTGAGCTCTGCAGAAACAAAGACAGCTGCTTACAGATGGAATGGCAAAGAAGTACTCAAAAAGATGAAAAGAGCAGTGGATGCTCAGAACATTCTGTATATGTCAGAGTCATTTTGAACAAAGTTATATTTAAAGGCCAATAAACATGTGAGAACCTGGAGCGTGAAGGGGTTTGGAAGGACTTAAGTAGATGCTGCACAAAGAAATATTTATTACAGTCTGAGACCTAATACAGTGGACCCTTGACTTATAGATGCCTTGACTTACAGACTTTTTGAGTTACAGACTTCTCTGGCCACAAAATTTAGGTTTGACTTGCAGACTGAGATTTGACTTACAGACCAGAAAAAAAGCAAAATGGAACAAAAACGGCCTGTTACGGGATTAATCGGTTTTCAATGCACTGTAGGTCAATGGAGACTTGACTTACAGACTTTTGGACTTGAGAACCGCCTTCCAATACGGATTAAGTTCTCAAGTCAAGACCCCACTGTATAAGGACAGAGCATAGGGAACAGTGTTGTTTTCCATGACTCCTGGACTGCATGACTTGTACTCAGTGCATCCTTTGTGTCTTTTCAGATTGTTGATCTCTTGCTCACCCATGGTGCAGATGTTAACATGGCAGATAAACAAGGTCGGACTCCTTTGATGATGGCAGCTTCAGAGGGGCATTTGGACACAGTAGAATTCTTACTAGCTCAAGGTTAGTTTTTGGCAACTTGGAAATTAAACCTAAAACTATATAAACAAACAGTTATAGGTGGTAATGTTGTCAAGCTACATTCTTCGTTCAGGTCTTCCATACCACTAGTGATACACTATGCAGGGAATGAGCCAGTTTGTGGGATTATGCTGTTCTGCTTACTTGCCATGGAAGTTAAAATATAAAAGCAAGGCATCAGTGTGGCCATGTTTTGAGTGACAAGGTTTGATCTGTGATATGAACATCCTTCCTTTGGAGAACGTTGCTTCAACTATAAATTTTTTTATATTAACTGAAAGCTTTTTCCTCTTTCGGGAATTTCTCTCTTCAAATTTACAACACATAAACATTGGTATTTGAAAAATACACTTAGTCTTTGCTACACACAAGGTAAGAAGAAAATATGTTTAAGCCTACTGTATAAACAAAGGAAGCAAACAGCCAAGAGCTACAATACCTGTGGCTCACCAACTTCTTCCAAAAGCTGTGCCTGAAAGGAAGTCATACCCACACACCCAGAAGGGAGAGGGATTTGCCTTCTGCACCTTTCTGTTAAAGAGATCAGTCCTTAAAACGGCCACAGTGCCAAAGGACTAGAGGATAGCACATGTCACGCCAATCTTTAAAAAGCGAAGGAGGGAGGACCTGGGAAACTCCAGGCCGGTTAGCCTAACGTCTGTTCCAGGGAAGATGGTGGGAAGCCTCATCCAAGATAAAATCTTAAAACACATAGAAGAACAAGCCTTGCTGAGGGAAAATCAGCATGGCTTCTGTAAGGGCAAGTCTTGCCTCACAAACCTTTTAGAATTCTTTGAAAAGGGCAACAGGCATGTGGATGCGGGTGAACCAGTGGATATTATCTATCTGGATTTTCAGAAGGCATTTGACATGGTCCCTCACCAAAGGCTGCTGAGAAAACTCCACAGTCAGGGGATAACAGGGCAGATCCTCTTATGGACTGAGAATTGGTTGAGATGGCCAATTTCATGCTAGGTATCATTAAAAAGGGGGTTGAAAATAAAATGGCCAATATTATAATGCCAGTTTTAAAAATGCTGGTAAGGCCGCACCTGGAGTATTGTGTACAGTTCTGGTCGCCAGACCTCAAAAAAGTCATAGTGGAACTGGAAAAGGTGCAGAAGAGAGCAACTAAAATGATGACCGATCTGGGGCACCTCCCTTATGAGGAAAGGCTGCCTTGTTTGGGGCTCTTTAGTCTAGAGAAAGGGTGCCTGAGGGGAACATGATTGAGATGTATAAAATTATGCCAGGGGATGGATAAAGTGGATAGAGGAAGCTCTTTCCCCTCTCATGCAAAACTAGAACCAGGGGATGTCCACTCAGGTTAAGTGTTGGGAGAGTAAGAACAGACAAAAGAAAATATTTATTTACCCAGCATGTTGTTAGTTGTAGAAGTCCTTGCCATGGGATGTGGTGATGGCATTTGATCTAGATGCTTTTAAAGGGGAATTTGAGAGATTCCTGGAGGAAAAGTCCATCACACGTTACAAGCCATGATGGGGATGTATAATCTCCAGGCTTCAAAGGAAGGTACCTCAAAATGCCAGATGCAGGAGATGGGTATCAGGAGACAGGTATCTAGTTGTCTCTTGTGCTCCCAGAGGCATCTGGTGGAGCCACTGTGAGGTACAGGGAGCTGGGTTAGATAAGCCCTTGGCCTAATCCAGCCGGCTCTTGTGTTCTTCAGGTGTTACAAACCTGCTTCTGCCCATGAACAATTGTTGTACTGCTCAAAGTTTCCTTCTCAGTCACACTGCAAGATTAAACATGTTCCAAGAAAAACTAGTCCTACTTGGGGTAGGTGGGTAGAAAAATGGATCATTCAAGTTTGGTTTTAGAGGAAATTTTAGCAATGATGTCTTGCTTTTGCTTAGACTATTGCCAGTCCTTAATCTCTTTTAATATAAACCAGGAACAGAGAGGTCAGGTAATACTGTGTAGTGGTCTCTTTTCCCCTACTTCATTTGGCTTTCACTTTTTTGCAAAAATTGTAGACATGAAATTATGTCACACAGATTTTGCCACAACTCAGATTTATATTTTGAAATTAATTCTGGAACCCACATTGACCTGAGAGAAAGTATTATCTCATGATTGATGGTTAATATAGCAAAGAGTTCCCTAGCAGTGTTCCTGTTTTTATTACTGATCTTTTTACTCCTTTACCCCAGTATACCTCTATACCATTCTCTATAGGTCAGCAATCCACACACTGTAAAGAGAATTAAGAATGATTTTCTAAGTGCCCTTCAATGACTTACAAGTTGTGGACTCTTGGCCAGGAGGACTACCGAAATCACTGGCTCAAGTCAGTTTAAGAAATAAGAATAGAAGGAGCATCTCACTAAACGTGTTCACTATAAAACAGTGGTCCCCAACCTTTTCCCAACTGTGGGGGGGAGCATGGCATGCTCATGGGGTGTGGTGTGCCCACAGGGGGGTGGAGCATGCTTTCACACGTTGTGCTTACAGGGGGTGGAGTGTGCCCACTTGCATGTGTGCGATGGTGCTCGCAGGGGGCGGAGTGTGCTCGCACGCATGGGTGCTCGCGGGGGGGCAGGAGATCTGTGTCTGCAGCTGGGTCCTGCCTAGGCCATGTACCACTGCTGTGTCACGGACTGAGGGTTGGGGACCCTTGCTATAAACAAATGAAAAACTGAGAATACATGGTTTGACAAGTACACACACTAACAAATCATTTTCAACTGCAGCAAGCAGTTGTCTTTTTAAAGAATATAAAAATGTAATATGCGTATCACATTAAAGACGCACCCACTTTTAATGGAGAGAAGAAAAACTTTCTTAATCAAGTGTATTCATGGTATGAAGTGCACATAGACAATGTTTGCACTAATGCACATCTTGCTGGCTTCCCCCCCCCCTCAGGTTCTTCCATTTCTCTGATGGATAAAGAAGGACTGACTGCCCTCAGTTGGGCATGTCTAAAAGGGCACCTTTCAGTAGTAAGAGCTTTGGTGGAGAGTGGAGCTGCTACAGATCATGCAGACAAAAATGGGCGCACTCCGCTGGATCTAGCTGCTTTTTATGGTGATGCAGAGGTGGTAAGTGATGGGTTTGGTAGGGGGTTGAATTCAAGTCCATGGGAGGAATCATGATGACACCTTTGCCAAGCCTTCAGGCTTGTTTTAATATTCTAAGCTGGTGCAACTACTAACCAACTTCAAAATTCTTGTACATCTGGTACAATAGCTTTTTATAGAAGCATACCACACATACATTAATTCCAAAATACAAGATAGTGCCCCCCATTGTGTGTTGTGATACCATTCCTTCCATGTCATAGCATAATCGAGCTTCTAATCTGTTGTGCTAAAAGACTGATATCAGTACAATGCTATATCTCCAGACAGGAGCAGATTTGATCAAAGGTCCAACACATGCCTGCTATTGTCAAGGGCAGTGGTTCCCAAACTTTTTTGACTCAAGGCTGCCTTGACTTATTGGCCACTGGCCACAGCTCCCCAATACAGTAGGACCGTCATATCTGTGGGATTTCTACTCCTAGTTTCATTCATACACTGCCTGACGAAAAAAAAGATATGCACCTTCCCATTGTGTATCACCAGGACTGACCACTAGATGGAGGCAGAGAGTATGTTGTATGTTGTAGACAGGTAGCTTACTGCAGTGGTTCTTAACTTTTGTTACTCGGATGTTTTTGAACTGCAACTCCCAGAAACCCCAGCCAGCACACTTGGTGGTGAAGGTTTCTGGGAGTTGCAGTCCAAAACTCCTGAGTAACCCAAGGTTAAGAACCAGTGGCTTAGTGGACCCCTTCACAGATTGCTGCCTTGTCATGGTGAAGGGGCTTGAGTAATTCAGAGAAACTATGGGCTATGCCGTGCAGGAACACCCAAGATGGACAGGTCATAGTAGAGAGTTATGACTAAACGTGATCCAACTGCAGCAGGAACTGGCAAGCTACTCCAGTATCTTTGCCAAAAAAAAAAAAAAAACACCCATGAACAGAAACAAAAGGCTAAAAGGTATGACACTGGACGATGAGCCCCTCAGGTTGGAAGGTGTCCAGCATGCTACTGAGGAAGAGTGGAGGACATTTACAAGTAGCTACAGAGCTAATGAAGTGGTTGAGCCAAAACCGAAAGGACGCTCCTGGAAGTGAAAGGAAAGTCCAATGCTGCAAAGGAAAATGCTGCATAGTAACCTGGAATGTAAGATCTATGAGCCTTAGTAAGCTTAATATGATCAAACAGGAGATGGCAAGAATAAACATTGACATCCTGGACATCAGTGAACTAAAATGGACGGGAATGGGCGAATTCAATCCAGATGATTATCATATCTACTATTATAGGCAAGAATCCCGTAGAAGAAATGGAGTAGCCCTCATAGTCATCAAAAGAGTGGAAAAAGCTGTACTGGGATACAATCTCAAAAATGATAGAATGATTTCAATACGAATCCAAGGCAGACCTTTCAGCATCATAGTAATCCAAGTTTATGCACCAAACACCAATGCTGAAGAGGCTGAAACTGGCCAAATCTATGAAGACTTACATCACCTTCTAGAACTGACACCAAAGAAAGATGTTCTTCTCACTATAGGAGACTGGAATGCTAAAGTAGGGAGTCAGGAGATAAAAGGAACAACAGGGAAGTTTGGCCTTGGAGTTCAAAACGAAGCAGGGCAAAGGCTAATAGAGTTTTGTCAAGAGAACAAGATGGTCATCACAAACACTCTTTTCCAACAACACAAGAGGCGACTCTACACATAGACATCACCAAATGGGCAATACAGAAATCAGATTGATTATGTTCTCTGCAGCCAAAGATGGAGAAGCCCTATACAGCCACAAAAACAAGACCTGGAGCTGATTGTGACTCTGATCATCAGCTTCTTATAGCAAAACTCAAGCTTAAACTGAAGAAAGTAGGAAAAACCAATGGGCTTGTCAGGTATAATCTAAACCAAATTCCTTATGAATACACAGTGGAAATGAAGAACAGATTTAAGGAACTAGATTTGGTGGACAGAGTGCCTGAAGAACTTTGGATAGAGGCTT